GATCACCGATATACTCCATAAGAGAAGAGTGGAACGGAATATTTATTTTATTATTATATAATTGTGTAAAGAAACTGTACGTATCTTATTGAGTATTTTTAAATATTTACTCTTTCACAATTTTACAGGTTAGTTCGAATCAATTGGAATAGTGACGGGATGTGATGCAGACTGCCAGAGGAATTGAATAAATAAAAACATTAAGTTTTTTCTATTTTCAAATTATTAATTAGTTTAATTGGATCAAAAACATGTTATTTAAATAGTGATTATGTTATTTTCTTTAAGATACAATTTTCACGTTTAATTTTATAGATATTCCAGTTTTTTTTTTTAAAGAATATTAGTTTAATTAGGTCAATACGCATTGTTTGTCAATTTCTATAATTATAGCATGATTGATTTTAAAAAGTCGAAAATACAAATACAACAAGGATAATTCATATGTACATCAGCTGGGGCTTGTAACGTGGCGGTAATTTTTGAATTTGAATTCAAAAAAATGCCACTTCAAAATTTTATGGTCAAAATGTCATTTGAATTGGTTTTAAAAATAATTAGGATTAATCTATGTGTACATAGATTGATCCATAGGGGATGACATAATGTGAGTTGATGGGGCCTGCGCTACTGTAGCATGAGCCCCACCCCACTTACATTATGTCAACCCCTATGTGTACACCTATGTACACATAGCATATCTCAAATCATTATTCTCCCCAAAAGACGAAATGAGTCTCTCTCTCTAACCTTACATCTGTTCGATGACGGCGACATAAATCCGGTGGCAGTTTATGAACTATTGCTAAACGAGAAAGACGAAGACGACGCAAATCCGGCCGGCATAGTTGCTCAATTTCCTTCAAATCGCTGGTGTAGATCTATTTCAAATCTGAAAGCTTTTTCTGAAGAATTTAAAGTGTAATTGACTTATGCTTTCTTCCAAGTGTTGTAGTGGTCTTGTAAAATGTTTCTCATGGNCAAGTGTTGTAGTGGTCTTGTAAAATGTTTCTCATGGTATACTACGTGATGAACTTCTGATGCCCGTTTTATTCGTGTGTGTTAAAATGGTGAAGTGATTGGAGTCTCGTGATTATTTGGTGTGTCTGTTTGTGGAATTTTCATGAGGCACACACTTAAAAAATGATTAATTTGCTGGATTTTTTTTTGCATGTGGAAGAAAACAATAAAACGTTAGCCCGTGATTTTGTGGTATTTCATTAAAAATTCAACACAATCAATGATTTGCACTTGCACATGTTTCTTCTATTAATTGTGGTAGTTCAATTGCAATTGCACATGATTCCGTGTAATATGAAGATTTTTATTTTTATTTTTGACACCGGGCTTCTTCAATTGCACTCTGCATTTACTAATTTCTTAGACAGCCAGTACTGATTTGGGTCATGCGGTTGCATTATGAAGGTGAATCAAGTGGTACTTGTTCGGGAGTACCTAAGCTTAAAGATCGAACTGACGACTTGTGAAGTATGCTCAAAATTTTGCTCACATAGCCGAGGAAAGGGACGTGGAGATTTTCCTCTCGACATAACTATTCGTAAGGGGAAACGAGATATAGCCTTGTACTTTGATGTAATGGGACGGTGATAATGTTTCTCGATTTTATTGTTTTAGTGGATGTCTCTATGTATGTAATTGTCCCAATTGATTATGAACAATCCATTGCACTAATTAATTTTGGAGTGCCACGCGCCATAGGCAACTTGCACTGTATTGGAGCATCCAAGAAGTCTTTTATCAAGTTATTAAGAATCAAACAGAACCCACAAACAAAACATTCCTTTTTACGAGCTCATAACAAACCCAACATCCATAAATTCAGCAAACTGAATGCCATACACTGAAATTACTTATCCAACATCTTTAGATTCAGCAAACTGAAGTAACATATGCAAACTACTTCCCCAACATTTTCGGCCGCATTCATAACACTGAATTTACTACTTAACATACGAGAGCTTAACAGATGCAAACTACTTATACAAGTTCAGCAGCTTCAAAAAATTTCAGTCGTCTTCTCGATATATGCAGCTACCTCGTGACAACAAGTTCGGTCCCAAAAATCAGAAACTCAACTGCCTCAACAATCACTAACTGTATTTCTTGTAAAATTCAAACACCTTATTTTCATGTTTAAACTTCATTCCAACACTGGGCACGATGCTTTAATCATTCGCACTGTCGTAATTATCTATTTTCAATTAGACCCACGGTTTATTCTATTTTCCAATCAAATATTTTTTGCCCAATTTATTCATGTGAACAAGATGAAAAGCAAAATAACATTCCCTAACATTTTATACCAGAGCCACAACGAAGACATTATTGGACATCATTACACAATTTAAATGAAGATTAAGAAGAATAAATGTTACCCATGCTATCGTCAACGTCGAAGTTGACGGTGTCGGAGTTGCCTGCTTCCATTTCGTCTTCATCTTTGTAATGAATGGGGTTGTTGTCCACCATAAATGATGCGGGGTAATTGTTGACCCAAAAAAACGGGGTAATTGTTCATTTATTGTATGATAGACGGTGATGCGAAGTCTTCATCAAGGATATGAGGTCACGTGGTTCTGAGCTAACGAACACTACGTCGGTCAAAACACTATAAATAGGAAGTCTTTGTAAATGAACAGGTAGGTGAGAAAATTGGGGAATACATATAAAAAATAGCCTCGTAAGCAACTTTTCTAACATACATCCCGAAAAAAGAATTCTCCATATATCATCTTGCTTGTTTCATAGTTGTTAACTTGATCTTAAGCAGATAAATATAGGCATTTTGATCGACGATTGTTGTTAGCGCGATCATCTTTATTTCACCCGTCAGTGCTCGAACACTTGTGTCTCATGTCGTATAATATCTTGCGTTCGCGTTTTCCTGTCTTCCTTCCGATGCTTCGGACAAAACGCGTTGAATGCATGGTTGGCATGAGTGGCCCGGCATTTGTTGCCCACATTTTTCAAGATCAATAATGTCGGGTTCACACCCGTGTCGATGCCAACATTGATGTTGTCGTCGTCGAATGGGCTTTGATGCCGTTCCATTTCGTTCAGAGCTCTATGGGGTTTGAAATGTATTGGAAATGACGGGGCTCACATAAATTGAGTTCCTTTTCTTTTTTCTTTCCATTTTTAGATGAAATTTTGACCTTTTCAAAATTTTGCCACGTCATCCCCCTTAACTCAGTCCGTAATGGTGGTAAAAGTTTGTGTAGCAAAACCCTACAACAAATGGATTATGTTACTTGTATATAAAAATGGTACATAAAAAATTTCATAGTGGATGAAAAAGTTCAGTATATTTTAATTGACAAATAATAAAATGACGTGAGAATATGTTACACATTACATAAAGTTTGATGTATATTGGTGACACGCCTCAAGGGTCCTGGAATTTACCTTAATTTAAAAAAAAATAAAAAAATGAAGTAACACCAGCGTTTCTCAGTTTCATGCTCCGATCTATTTTCTTCTTATTCCACTGGTCTCAAATCTCAATTGACGCATAAACCTGAACTTTACATATAGCAGCAAAACGGCGATAGGGATTTTTATAAGCAATCAATCAAGAAATGGCAGTGAATCCTAGGGTTTTGAAGGCAGGGCTGGGGATAATGGCAGTGTGCTTGGCAGGATACATAATTGGCCCACCTCTATATTGGCACTTCGTGGAAGGATTAGCTTCCGTAAGCCGCTCATCCTCTTCTTGTGCTCCGTGCATTTGTGACTGTGATTCTGAGTCACTTCCTTCCATCCCCATAGGTATGTACAATTGATACATACACGCACGTGTGTAGCGATGTATATGTCTACATCTTCTTAGATCTCTTGTTGGGTAGTGTTGATTTTCGTCCCTGATCAACTAAGAAGGCTTACATGTGAATTTCAACATTATACGTAAATTTATAATGAAACGGATAACTTGGGTTATATTTCTCGCGAGAGGTGACTACCGTTTGAGGTAGATACAATTTTGTTGCTAGTCGTATGATACCCGCATAGAAATAAGCTTAGAAGGGAGGCTACGAGGAGGATGAAGATGAGAAAAGCAGCAGACCTTCATGGAAATTTTTTATTGTGGAAGTTTTTGGGTGGTGTTGTTATAACATTGCTCAAAATTGTTAAATGGTATCTTAAAGAGTATGAAGATGCGAATGAATAAAAAAAGAGTGTTATGGTGCCAATTTTTAATAATAAAGGACATATTCAAGTCTAATTGCATCAGTGTTAAGCTCGTGAGCCATATTATAATATAAGAGAAATGAGCATTTGAGCATGGATTAATTTGTAATTCGAAGGTCTTAGAGAATCAGTTTGTTTTTATACTAGGGATTTCTAATATGGAAGTCCTGCACAAGAGATGAATGGATAAGTATAGAGGAAATAAACTAGATCTGCAATTATTTCTGTTGGTTTAGGAAATCCATGTAATAGGGCGCCTACTAAAGTGTTACGCTGAGTTTTTAAAGGGATAAGAAAATTATATGGATACTTTCCAAGATGAGGTTATAGGTGTATTCATTTTGTTGGTGACATAGTTTTGGTTGATGAGACGAGGAAAATTTTAAGTTGTAACTTTGGAAGGATGTAATGCAAAAAAAACTGAAATGGAGAAGTGTTGCATGATTTTTACCTGGAAAAACCTTGTAAAGTCAAAAAGCTTGTTCCACATAACAACTATTAGATTTGTGTTGAGCTCTACTAGACTTAAAGCATGCTTGGAAAGTGTTTATAAAATGTTTAAACTATGAATCGAAATTAGTGGTGGATAAGTTGATAATAATTGTGAGTCCTAAAATGTGCGAATATAAATGGTTTGACCGATTATAAACAGTTTATAAAGATTAGCCAACCATATTATTATGTCAAATTTGAAATGATAATATATAACAACGAGTAGTAGCGACACTTCTTTATAAAACAAATAAGGAAATGACGACTTAAGTGGTTAGAGCATGTATTTTGTAGACCTAAGAGGCTACTATTTATTTCATAAAAGTGACATGTTCTTAGTAAATCAGGTAGAAAAGAGGGGTAGTCCAAAATTAACACTGTCTATTGTAGTTACTTTGATTTTTTAATTGATGTGATGGTGAAACGAACAAAGTGATGAAAAAGAATTCATGTAGCAAATCCAAATTTTATTGGGTATAAAACTGAGTATGTTCTTGTAGTTTGTCCTTGTTTAGGGGTAAAGATTTGTTTGGAAGGTAAAAAAGAGAAAGGATAGGCAAACAGATTCATTTTTCTTTCATTGTTTATAAAAGAAACACAGAGAGAATGATTTGAAGTAAATTAAGGAACGAACTTTGAAATATTTGTTAGGTCTATTTCAGGACTGGATGGACAAGGTAAATCAACAATTTACTAATAGAAAGATACGACATGTCAACTTTCTATTCTCAAAAATATTATACAACTATGAAACTAAGGAATCAGGATCTAATGAAAGAAAACACCTGATCTAGTGATTGCTTCCTAGATTCTAAATGTGTCATCCTACTGCTTTTGTGCTTCATCGAGAACTGCAGACCAATTTGAACTATATGCTTTATCTAAACTTGTGCTGTGTCATAAATTTGAACTGTGATATTTACATGAACTTCTTGTGAAATACTCTGTATTTGAATTGTTTAATATACTTCACACTTTAAAGGTTTTTGTTATTACCGATCTACAACAATGAAAACAAACTTACCCTTATTTTCAATAAAGTTGGGGGTCGGTTATATGATGCCTTTTCACCACGATGTTCTATTTAATTTATAACTTGCCAATTAAAAAAAATAAAATTTGCATATTCATACGGTCATCCATAGCTACTAGTGGAAAGGACTATAGTGCTTAAGAGTGTTTACTTTATGATGAGGATGTTTCCTGGCAGTTGCCATATAGATATAGATATTTGACAATGGGGCAAAAATTGTTCTTTAAGCGTTTGCTCAAAAGTCAAGAATTCATGAATATTTGTTTGCAAAAAGGTCCATCTGGAATATCATTTCTTTTCAATTTTGGTAAAGCAATACAACTGTTGAAAGAACAAAGGTTGACATCTGGGAAGCACTGAAACGCTGCCGGTCGTATCAGTGTCCGGCACGTCGCCAAGGCATTTCAGAGTGCCCTTGTGTGGATTTCGGTCAGGCAGCTGTAAGTTGCATCCCTAATTTGTTGAAGAATTGAAGAAGGCGTGTTTGGGCTGTTGCGGCAGATTTCGGTCTGGCGGCTGTGCGTTGCAGCCCTAATATGAAGAACTCAAGAAGGTGTGTTTGGGCTGTTGCGGGGATTTAAGTCAGCGGCTGTAAGGTGAAGCCCTAATTTGTGTACAAGAGGTGAAGAATGCATGTGGGCGATGTATTTTGTCGGAACTTTTTCGAAAAATCACGTGTCGGCATGTCTGACATGTAGTGTCCGTGTCGGTGCTTCTTAGGCTCACATTCATAGTAAGCTATTTTGTCATTATGTTTATTTTATAGAAGTATCACAAAAAAGGTACATTAGAGAATTACGTGCTCAATTTATCAAGAATGTTATATTTAACTTACATGGTGTTTGTGTTTGCTCTTCTAAACTCAGGCTGGTAAATGATGGTTGATTCTGCACCAATTTAACACCAGTTTCTTCATTATGCTTCTGAGGTTTATTTATATGTCAACATGACTGTCGTGTCGTTGAGAGTTGAGCCCTTGTTTCGTATCATAAATCATGGCTGTGATCTTATTTTCGTCTACTAGTAGGGAACCCATATGTATCTGAATCACTAATATTCTCTTATGCTTATTTATAAGAATGACTTGAGGATCTATATTTTTAATTGGCTTAATACCCATATCAGGATTTTTGTGCTTATTGGCCCCGGAAACACATCTCAGTACATGCATAGAAGGTTTGGTTGGGTGCCGAAGGGGTTAAACAATGAAAAAAAACTTGTTAGGCAAAAACACCTAATAATAGAAAGCTGTGACTTGAATGATTTCACCTATCTACATAGAGGGGCCAAGGTTTGGCAGAGAGAAACAAATAAATAAAATTGAAATTTTGAACTCTGAATGTGTATGGAGGCTTTTTAGATTGATGAGTTTGGCAGTGCATGTCTCATAAAGGCAACCTATATATAGAGTCGGGACATTTTGAATTTGTAGGTGGTGTTTGAAGTTTTCGACATTGTAGAACAATGCACGTATTCAGTTTTATTTGGTTTTCATTCTTCCAGTTTTTATGAACAATCCTGTTTGTTGCTGTGATATGTTACCCCCTATCTCTATGACATGCACAGTTCTTGTTAATTGTAAGTGTTCTTCGCTGGTTATTTTTATGGAATACTTATTCTATGGGGGCTCTGCAGGATTTGTTCTCTTTCTTCACTCTTCTAGTCAATGAATACTGATTGTTTGTTTTTTAATTGTTGCAGCTCTGAGTAATATTTCCTTTGCAGGTTAGTGACCACTTTCTTGCCTTTTATTTAAATATCGTTTCTGCTTGCACATGCTTCTTTTTCAGATGCCGACGTGAAGCTTTACTTTCAGTCGTTTGTGTTTAGACTCTAATTTTGTGGAACTAACCTCTGAACAGTCTGTTTAATATTCTTTGATCTACCCTCCATATTTCTCACATCATTGAAAATCTCCCTGGTTGATTGGGAGGGAGGGAGACCTAATGCTTTATTTCTGTTCACAAAAGATTCCTTTTTGGCTCTCTTTAGCCCTATGCCTCCACTAGCAGGTTGTTTCTGAAAACACTTTATTCTATTGGAATTTGGCTTTTCATAGTGTTAGCGATAGTTATTGCAATAGGGTTGCTTTCTAAAGAACCTAGGTTGAGAAGAGTATATTTATTGCGTTTAAATTTATCCATTTTACATGCTTATATTTCCATGCTTTGATTTAACTAGATTTGGATGATTAATTTTCTTCCCAATTGACATAGAATGCTTCTCGTCATTCACATATCATATTCATATGAGGCTCCATTCAATGCATATGATAATAAGAAACCTGAAGAATCTTAATGTTAGATGTGAAACTGGAGATAATGTCGTTCCTCTAGAGACTAAATCCTTGATATTAAACCGATGCCCACAAAATCATCATGTTATTAGCATAAGGCTGTTTTGTGTTTATTTGTATGATGTCTCTCTCATGTTTCCCAGATTGTGCAAAGCATGATCCGGATGTTAGTGAAGACACGCAGAAGAACTTTGCTGAGCTATTGTCCGAGGAACTAAAGCTGCGAGAATCCGAAGCATCGGAAAATCAACAGCGTTCCGACGTGGCACTGCTCGAGGCCAAGAAGATGACATCCCAATATCAGAAAGAGGCAGACAAATGCAATTCCGGGATGGAAACATGCGAAGAGGCTAGAGAAAAGGCCGAAGCTTCTTTATTGGCACAGAAGAGACTGACTGCTGTATGGGAGCTTAGGGCACAACAGAGAGGATGGAAAGAGGGAGTTGCCAAGTCTCGCGGGAATGTACAGGCTATATAACTTCCCAATGGGCTCTATCAAATTAACACAGGATGGTGCATCTTCGTAGGAACAAGTTCTCTATTTCTTCTGTGGCATTCGGCCTTACTACCATCCGAAATTGGATCTTAATAGAGGGTCATTTCATCTTTCTCCAACAAAGCATCTTTTGTTCTATAAGGTGCCATCTCAACATTTACCCAATATATTTACTTGTTTGAAGTTACTTGTTAAAGGGGTGTTTTGTGGGGATTAAAATTAGATTTTTACTATATTGTGATAAAAATTTTTGAAATGTGCGGTTGAAAAGCTGTGGGATCATGAAAGATGTGGTTAATATTGATTGTTTGACTTTGATTTAGATTAAATTTTGATTTTATTCAAAAACAAACGAGACCTAAATCTTCCACGTGCACGTCAGAAACTGGAATTGTATTAGACAGATATAATTTAATTTGATATATGGATTACTTGATGAATATAAAGATAGTTTGGAATTTAATGTTTCCAGTTGATTATAACACTATTTTTTCGATATCCTTTTTCTTATCTAAGCAACCTGGCCCGACCGGTTTCACACTCACATTGCGCGTAGAAAGGTTTGGTTAATCTGGAAATTGCCGTTATTACTTTACTTAATCCAGTTCCCATCGGAATTGAACCATGCTACCATTTGCCATGACATGCCCAGGTTGAGGTAAAAAATAGATACAGTAGGTATTACTTGATCTCAGGTTATGATTTATCATTTACATAAATTTGTGAGAATATATCGTACCCTCAAGCACGCACTGAATCCATTTTTTTCTCAATCGAAAGCTCAATACGCGCGCAACATTCATAAATGGGCGGTTGAGATGTTTGAATTGAAACACTTTGTGCAAAGAGATGGCATATATAATGAGAGAGAGTAGCATTACATCCTTCATCACAAGTATTAATTGTCACGCATAGCCTTCTCATCAGCAGTAATTGAACCGGAAGATATTGTACTGTCATCATATCTCTGAAACAAATAAGCCACAAATAATGCTGCAGTTAAAGGTTCAATCTCTTTAAGCAACACGCTAAGGGGGTGTTTGGTGGAGATTAAAATTAGATTTTTAGTAGATTGTGATAGCAATTTTTAAAATGTGTGGTTGAAAAGTTGTGGAATTCATGAAAGATGTGATTAATATTGTTGTTTGACTTTAACTTAGATTAAAATTTGATTTTAATTTGTACCAAACAAGCTCTGATTGTTGGCTGCTGTGGCCGATCCAGTTTGCGGTCTAAGAGCTATGCATCTGTTAGATGGAATTAGCAAATATTTTTGAGGGTCATATAGCCTAGAGGCTTAGGTTTTGGAGTCAGTCAATAGATAGGCACTCTCGTGTTTAATGCATTTTACTTGTCAAACATTAAACATGATTAAATATAAGAGGACGTAGAAATATCGAATAAAATTAGATTTTGATTATTAAATTTGATCATCCCATTCAAGGTTTGAAAAACAGAATAGCTGGCATGACAAAGTAATTAGCAAATAGTTAGACTATTTCGTCCTTGTTTTTCGTTAGTCAAATAATGGACATAGAATGTTTGATCAAATTGTAACAAATTTTACGTTAGTATCAACTTTAGACAAAATAAAATTTATTCTAAGTTTAATGATAAAAACATAGCAAGTGGACCATATAATTAAAATTGGGGAATCCAAACTACTACAATTGATTGGTCAATGAAATTACGTGATTAAAGTGTTGATTCTTAGATAATATTAACCTAAAAACAAATGAAAACGGCTCCACACAGGCCTAGGGTTTGGTACTGAAGGGTCACATTGCATTAATAAGGACAAAAATAGTGTTACACAGTGAAGTAGCCATGTGACAATTATATGTATGATAGAAATATTTTGTTCATCAACCAATCAATTTAATAAAGATGTTTCGGTTACGACTAACTACTCCGTAGTCTAGCCGAGGATTAGGGTTCAAAACCCACAATAGAAACATTTATCAACATATTTAAACACGAAGACTATTGATCTCGAGCACTCTTATAAAAAATGAGAAGAATTATACTCGATTTAAGGTGAAAAAACAAGAAATTTTTTTTTTTTTTATATCCGTACGTATTTGAGTATGTTTAGCCGTTTAGGCTCGGAAGTGTCGAGATATGCACAAACACGCAAATCACTAGTATACTCACACTCGGCATGAAATCTCCAACAAACACATTTGCCTTTTCAACAATCTCAATATCAAAAAGATGAGAAAAAGAGGAGACATGAAGAACAGCAATTGCATTAGGATTGACACCCAAAGACCAAGGGAATATATTGGAGGCACATTTGTTCTGCGAACTGTACTATTGTGCTTTTCCATTCTCTTCTTGAAGAATGTTGGATGAGCTTGAAACCAAAAATAATCCAATCGGTTGAGAATCAGACCCACCACGGGCCACCCGTGTCCACCGGGAAATATATATAGGACCATGCTACAACCTACATGTACATAAATATTTATCACTGATTTTAAAAACACATATTTCAATCAATTGTCAGATTTTTGACATATAGGAGGTATCAATCAAGATATACACTGTGTATACAAGTAATTTATATATATATATAAAGTTCACAATAAAGTGTGCACTCACTTTCCTTTTGTCAAATGTTCACTTTTCTTTATATATAGATATATAAAGTTTTAAAGAAGCTATGTCATAAAACTTTTGCTAAAGAAAATAGAAGTCAAAATAAATAGGTAATAAATTTTGTCCTCAAATCCGAACAAGTTATGCATACCATCAGAAGCTACTTTGAGCTTAGCTTATCGAAAAAAACACCAGATTCGCAAGTCTGGTTCATTTGCCCGACGGGTCCAATCCTGGAGGGCCAGGATAAATTCATATTATTTTTCTCTCTGTACCAAAAAGTGATGCACCATAGAGAGAGAGAGAGAGAGAGAGTGGGGAATGGAGAATTGGTGATGTGAAGCTTTACAGGTTGTTGTTTATGCCGAATGAATTTGCTTTAAAGGGATTTCACTGGAAATATGGAAAGAAAAGTCCCTTGCCTTGCCGTGCCTTGCCTTTTTAATGTACAGTAGCATCAGATGCTTGCAACTGTGAAACTGCACCAAACAAGACAAGTGCGTGTGTGGAGAAGCCGAAGCCAGGCCGTCATGTCAAGTCGTGAACTAGACAAAACAATGGATTGTGATGTTTCTATACATTTTTCTCCTCGGCCTAACATTTTTCAAGTGTTACATGAGCATTTTATGAAATTCGCATGTGCTAAGTAACCTTAATATTTCTTATGGTAGCTGTAAGAGCACTACAGTTTCTTGTAAATATATCATATTTTAATTGCATTAAAGGTCTCTACTTATATTCTAAACTTTATTTTCATCACATTCTTGTTTTCAATCTTTCATTGGTCAGCACATTTTGTCCTTGACGACAGTTTGCGATCGAAAATTGTGTTAAAATATTATAAAAAGACTTATTTGCATCTTTCTTTTTACATATGCCAAAAATAAAATATAATAATTAAAAAAGGTGACTAAACATTTCATCAACTTTTATCAAAATCTACTAAAGCAGTGGATATGATTCAATTTGAACTCTATTACGAAACCAAAATAAATTGATCAATATGAATCTCGAGAGTAGAGGTTGAGCACCTCCTTTGTCGTGGAGGCTCTCCTATCGAGAAGATCTGATTTTTAGCTAAATCAAATATGGGCTAATTGCCCTCGATAGTACAAATTAATCGTGACACACAATTAGACACCACACTATATGACCCACCAATACATACATATAATGCGTGTGAGTTTATTTAAATCTTGCACTCTCTCTTTCCCATGTGATGTTGCTGTATACTTGCCTGCCTTGGGACCCTTGAAGCCCTTTCCTCCTTTCCACTTCCTCTGTGTCGTCGTTAGCCAGATTCTGATGAATATTAATGGGTCCCGCGATTTCATTGCCGAATATTGTGGCCATTAATTTTTGGGTCCATTCTTAGATTGCAATGCACCCTAAAATGCGCGTGGGGTCACGAGGCATCTCATCACAAAGGGATATAATAATTCTTGAATACAAAGAGATGAAATCAAGTCAAATTTCAGTCAAATGTTGATCAAAATATTGTAAAACCATCTATGTGCATAAGAATGTTGTTTGTTATGAACTAATGTAGAGTAGAAACCAGACATCCCAGCTTCTTAAGGTGCTTCAGTGGACCTCTTTAAGTAGAATTCGAATTCAGATACCATCTATCAAGGAAAAAAGAACGAATGGATCTCGTAGGATTCCCAAGAAATTCTCCGATATCTTCCGGAACCCGTTGTAGGACTTGATTAATCGCCCTTTGTCGTTCAAATTGAATCGTTTCATTTTTATAATTTTCTAATTGTTCCATAACCCTCCCAACACCGAGCCGCATAAAATGGATCATGCCTGCCTTTCACCCTGCTCCCGATACAATTTCGACACCCCCAACGCACAACTTTCAGTAAAAGTGTTCTTCAGCATTACTCACATTCTATCTTTGGAATCAAATTCCCATTACCTACTAGACAGACTTTCTAACGACAGATTGCTGTTTAAAGCAAGAAAAATCCATTGAGCTTCCAATGGAAGCTTGTAGAAAAGCAAGATTCAAACAATTAGGAATAACTACAATGTTAACTCGACCAGACAGAATCTAAATCCCGATATCAGAATCCATCAAGTAAAGATAGCTAGCTACACACTAAAGAACGACGAGATACTTTCACTGAATAACACATGTACTCTTTCTGATTAGTGATTAGAGCCTGGAAGCCCTTGAATGTACATTATCAGTAAAAGATTACAAATTGAACAAAGCACAAACAACTTCACTCACTTACATAGCTTCACGTGATCAAACGAATGATGATAAATATAAAGAAGAATTAAACAAGGATACTCCCTAAAAAAAACCGCATCCATGCCATTCTCTAAATTAATCTTTTTTTTTCTTTTTTAATCTAATATAGTATATTACTGTAAGTTGAAATTTCGAGTATACCAAAGTGTGTTTCCTGTGCAGCGTAGTTTCCTCATTGACAGTTAGAAAAGACGCATACGACCTCCTGCATAAGAAATGTACAATAATGAGTATTAGAAGATAGAAACATAAATATAATAAGAGAAAAGTGACACAAAGTTCTCTTCTTTTAAAATTTTGCTGCAACACTCCTCGATTTTGCTATAAAACTAATTATTCCTCAGTGTGAATGGATATATTTATGGTACTTCAGTCTCCTCAGCTAATCGACTATTATGGTCATTACAAAGTACATTAGTTTTTAAAGCACTAATCATGAATTCTAGGACATGTAATTTTGCCATTAGAGCTCCAAAAGATAGAAGAACATCATAAATTGTCATGGGCCCCCTATGAAATGCAAGTAAAGAACATGATGATTTTATAGAATTAAGCCTTTCAAAGGAAGATTAAGCCTCTACGTTATTTCAACAATGCTTACGGAAACATCAAATGAAGTGGGGAATAACAATTTTGTCGTAAGGTTTCAAATTTATAAAACAGCTACTGCATGCGAGAACCACTTGAAAATTTAGAATGATGAGGATTAATCAATGAAGGTCCAGGCAGGCAAAATTGCTTTCTTGGACATGTTCTCGCTGAATAGTCAATTCAATTTAAAATTCAACCCCACCAAGCTGCCATGTGAAATAAGCATGATTATAATCAATCAAGAATTCTTTGCTAATTTAATTTATATGAAAAATACCTTTCGTCGGTGGGGGTTAGTTACTTTGCTGATTACTCCCTCCAATTCCTGGTGAATATACTTTTCAGTCTATTCCCAGAGAGCTTCTGCAAGGCCTTCTTAGCTCCAACCACCTCCTTTTCTGCCAATATCCGCATATACCCATAAGCACCAGCAGCCATGAGCGTCTTCCGGCAACTCTGACTCCTTCCGGACATAATAGCCGCCACCACTGCCACTGGAAACTTCTTTGAAGTAACCTCATTCTTGGGATCCAGCATTAGCATCAGCCTCATCACACACTTCTCATCCCTTACCAAATCTTTCCTATTCGATTTCACCGATAACAACGACACCAAAGCATTCGTTGCTACTTCCTGGAGCCCATCGGGCTTTGAAGACTCCATCAGTTTCATTAAAGATCCCATACATCCACCTATAGCTCTCTTATTATCATCGCTTATAGATAATTTAGCGAGCAATGAAGCACTAACGTGTTGCAACATTATGTTACCATGTTTTATAAGCTCCCCGAGTTCTAAAATAAACATGGTTGATCCTAATAAAATTTGGTGGCTTACATCTGAATCAGATAACGAATAAATAGCACGTAGAACATGTTCTAATGTATCAGAATTCGATGATTCATGAAGCAATTGTAGCAAGCTTTGCAAAGCCTTTTCTTTTAACAA